CACACAGACAACCTCTCGTCAATATGCGTTTTTCGCATTGCATTGCTGCAAAAAACGCATAATATAACATTACGAAAAGTTTTCAGTCTTCTAATTCTAAGGCTGGCGTTGCTGGTGTTTGTACATAGGTTTCACTGCTGTCAGTACTGCTCGAAGATTCCGGTGTTGGTTTCGTGCTTGTTGTTTTACACATATCCATCAGATCTTCGGAGACGGACCAGGTCGGCGATTGCGCTCTTCCTTCAAGAATCCCAGAGGTTATGCGGCTGGAAACCTAAACAAAATTTCACTTTCAAATAGTATTTCCTGAATAACAAAATTCTGCCATAAATGACTTCTACTACAGACAAATCAACATTGCGCAGCGTAGAACAACTCAGGCTGGAACGCACCAGGCTCTCCGGTGCGACCATGCATTTTTGCACTAAACTCGTAAATCGCTATTAGCAGGAATGATCCTTACGCTGTAGCCTAACACTTGAGCTAATATTGGCCGTGCTTTGATCCTTTCTGGCATGCAGGAGGAAGGGCATCAGTTGGGATGAAGGTGGTGCACTATAGAGCTGCACGGACATCCAGGTGCTTGATTACCGGTTTTTTGCATAAAGTCCAGTCGTTTTTTCGGTAAATGCTCGCTTTGTGAAAAAATTACAAATGTAGACTTTTTGAAAAAATGCAAATTCCCAGTTCACTAAAAAGTGGAATTATTGCTCGAGCTGTCGTTTGTCAAAAAATGCACGCTCATTTACATATGCGGTTGTGGTTTAGGTCCAAGTTGTGAATTTTTTGAAATATGCAAATTTTCAGTTCATTGAAAAATTGAAAGTATTGATCGAACGGTCGTTTTTCAAAGGATCCATGTTCATTTGCACATACAATTGCGGTTCAAGTCCGAGTTGCTAACGATTTTTGGGAACAGGAGCTGCTTGAGGCTGTGGTTGGGGAGCTAGACAGCTGAGTTTAAAATTTGTATCTCGCACGTGCATAGAGAATAACCCTGTAAAGTTTCAGCTTTCTACGTTGCCTGGTTCGCGAAATCGTCTCCTGCCAACGAATTTCTTTGGGGGTCCCGTACGCAGGGTTTAGGGGCGTATGGGGAAAGATCTTAAAACGGGGGGATGACACACGGGGTAGGAACATATATCCAAAGCCAGCTTTCCTGGTTGCTGAGATGAAAGTGGGTGACAAAATGTACTCGCATTCCGAACACACACACACAGACT